CAAAAATAATTCCAAGTGAATTTCAAGTTTTAGGCCAAATTTTCAGAACAAGAAATATTCTCCAAGTCTGTTATGTTTACACTAAGGGTAATTCTTCTAAAATTAAATAATCTCTTTGAATTTATGTTGATTTTCCAACAAATCACACGTTAGTGGATAAAACCGTTGGAGATCATCCCCTCCACCCCCCACCCAGCTAAACCTGCCCCACCGCACACTTTCACAACTCCACTCCCTGCCTTTTCACCCCCCACACCATGCATACAAACACCACCACCCACACAGTGACGTACACACAACCCATGGGGCCCCGGTGCGAAAACTGATCCATGGGCCCCCCCCCCGCGCGCTTACTCTGCGCGGGCTGGGGCCGCAACACATGGCGGCGGGCACCTGGTTGCAGGGGTTGCAAGGCTGCGGCCCCTGCGACTGCGGTATGTACGCCAGTGCATGCAGATACACATACACTTAAAAGACCACTACAGACACCCAGATCACATCAGCTCAATGAAGTGGTCTGGGTGCCAGGTCCCTCTAGTTTTAACCATGCAGCTGAAAACATAGCAGTTTCAGAGAAACTGCTATGTTTCACTGAGGGTTAATTCAGCCTCTAGTGGCTGTCTCATTGACAGCCACTAGAGGAGCTTCCGCGATTCTCACTGTGAAAATCACAGTGAGAAGACGCTGAACGTCCATAGGAAAGCATTGAGTAATGCTTTCCTATGGGCGTTTTGAATGCGTGCTCAGCTCTTGCCACGCATGCACATTCGGAGCTGAGAGATCCCCTGCGCCAAGGGAGTTTGGCACTGGAGAAAGGTAAGTACTTAAGACACACACACACTCTCACAAACAGACGCATACACACTAGCTAACAGACACACACATTTACTGACAGACACACACTCAGTGACAGACATACATACACACTCACTGACAGACAGACACTCACTCACTTACAAAACACACACTCACTAACAGACGCACACAAACAAACACACTCAGTAACAGACACACACAGTAACACTCACTGACACACTTTACACTAACACACACACACACACTCTAACACTAACACACACACTCTCTAACACACACACACACTAACACACACTCTAACACACACACACTCTAACACTAACACACAAACACACTCTAACACTAACAAACACACGCACACTCTAACACTAACACACACACACACTAACACACTCACACACACACTCACACACACACTCTAACACACACACACTCTAACACTAACACACACACTAACACACTCACACACTCACACACACACTCTACCACACACACACTCTAACACTAACACACACACACACTAACACACTCACACACACACACCCTAACACACACACACACTAACACACTCACACACACACACACTCTAACACACACACTTTTTTTTTTAAATTGCATCCCCCAGCCTCCCTACCTTTGGGAGTGCTGAGGGGATTCCCTGGGGTCCAGTGGGGCTGCCCGGCGGCCGGTCCTGCGGGCCGGCTGGCTGGTAGGCTGGCGGGGGCGCGAGGGAGCACTCTCACCTGAGTGCTTCCTCTTCAGCTCCTTCGCGCGTCGCGTACTGATACAGGAGCCGGAAGATGAAGAGGGATCACTCAGGGGTGAGTGCTTCCTCGCACGCCCGCCGGGTGATACCAGGGCCAGCCTCGTGGGGCCCTGAGGTGGCCGACTCCTGGGCCCCCCAGGAGAAGAGGCTGGCCACACTAGCATACATACCGGGTTGCAGGGCGGCCGGGCCCCCTGGTGGGCCGGGCCCGGTCGCAGCTGCGACCCCTGCGACCCCAGTATGTACGCCACTGCACCCACTCCAGACCTCGGTCAAGCCTACATATATCCCCACCACACAACCTTACACACACCAGCCTAACCACAAACGTCCCTGATATGCAAAAACAGCTCACCGAAAAGCCAAGACAAGGACACTGACCAACGCCCACACCACCGCTACGCCAGCAGATACCGAAACACCACTAGACAATAACTGAACACTGCTAAACAAGAGGTCTACAGACCCAACCCATGTCACCCCACAGACCACACAGAAAACAGAGAACAAAAAGCACATCACCCAACATGACACAACCACCTCCCAAAATTGGCAACCAGCCCCCAAATCCCCCACCCTCGCACATCCCAAACTTCACAGAACATAAGGATAAATAGTGAAAAAGGAATTGGACCTAATCCAATATGAAGCTATCAATACATCTGCAAGAAACAAAACCAAATAGCAAACTGTAATCACGCTCTGTATTACTTTATGCAAATGTCACTGTTTTGTACCAAGACAACATTGCAAAATATGTTTTACCCTATTGTATACGATTGTATAATCTGTTCAAAACTTCTAAATAAAGAAAAACGTTAGAGATCACACACTTATCAAACACTCGATTTACCTGAAATTGCCTCAAAATGTGGACAGTTCAAAGCACATTTGGAGATTGTGTTGGGTTAATTAAAACAAACTCAATATATTATTTAATGAAGATCCTTACAGTCTCCTTATAAATAGTTTTCCAGGCAAAGCAAAATCTCTTGCCCCGTCCCATAAACTGTGGGATTTAATGTAAGGGTTAACAAAGTGGAGCTAGAGGGTGAACACAGATTCATTTTTACAAATTCTCGCACTGTAACACACAGTGTGGGCACATTAAAGCTGCGATAATGTCATTTATTTATATTTCAGCTTTCTCAGGGTTATATACTAGAGTGAGAATTCAAAGTGAATTTTAAATTTAATGTCAAACTAACAAACCAACAAGAAGATTTTCCTTGAACAAGTTTGTGATTGCTCCTCTGTAAAGTATATACCATCATATTTTTTTGGACTTTCTATCTTGGACTTATATTTAATATTTTATTTTCTATTTATCTTATTTTCTATTTATTTGTTTTTAAGGCATCTTATATTGGTTATAATATTCTCACCAGTGTCTTTCTAGAGTGGCGCTAATCCTCTACACTTTTTTATATTTTGTACTTGCCTCACTACTATAGCGATAAAGGGATTACCTTCATGTTGTAGGAAAGCTGCCTTAATTTCACTTTTCCCAGTTTGTTCTATCAGTGCTAACCCTTTACTAGTGTTGACGAACCAGTTTACCTACTCTGGCCTCAAATATAAAAAAAAACTTTAGTAAATGACACTTTTTGACTCCTTACTGCCTCTGACATTTTTTATTTTCTTTATTTTTTAAGAGAACGGTTTAGGAGTGTTACGGTTGCCCCAGGCTAGCTGAGGGTTGGACCGCCTGGATGTCCTTGTCCCCTAGCTTGGAGAGCGGTGAAAAGTTCCACTTCAGCAACTACCGATATTCCTGGAAGTGTAGAATAGAGCTAGTGATTAGCATTTCCCTACAACACGAGTCGAGGCTGCGAGTTGAGGGTAAGAAGAATGGTTTATTGAGCATTTTCAGGCCAGGGGCACACCCCTCTGGACCTGATGGAACACAGGGATACAAGGAACATAAACCAATCAGAACAAAGTGCATCTTTCTGAACCCTCGCCTCTATCCTGGAGATAATTGGCTTAAGTGGCGGTAGTAACTTAATTTTCTCCAGGTACAGGAAAAATTCTTAAGTTGAAACTGTAACAAAAACCAGATAAACCACATAAAAATACATAACTTATATTATACAATATTCAACCCCTATGTTCAACATTTCCCCAGATAGCGCTCAATAGGTCCAAAAAGTGGTCAGATCTCACGAATACTGTTGGATCGCCATGGGGTTAAAGTTTTCTCAACGGCCGTTCAGCAGAATACAACCCAGGATTAGTTCCACAGTTTTTAGTCATAGGGTCGGTCTAGCCTCAGGAGTAGGAAAGTACCGAACTGCGCTGCGTTCATATGATTATACACGAACGGATGAAAGGCTTAAGAGCCCAGCTGGGTTTGTGAAGAATACTGACCGAAAAACAGTACCATGTGGTCGACGACAAAACCATGCTAGGCATTCGGCAGTTAAAGATGGCCGCCACCACCTGTTCATTCATGCGAATGATGACCACCCAGCTGTTCGTCAATTAGGCTGCGGTTAACTGCAAACCGCAGCTTCTGGGGGGCTAATAAGTGTCACACTCCTCATACAGGGTGGTCGGTCGTTCAGTATTTTGTTAGGTGATTTGGAGGTGAAAAGGGTTAACGTGGTAAACCGCAGCTTCTGGCCAGTTAATAGGCTGCACACTCCATATGCCAGGTGGTCGGTCATTCGTTCATACGAATGAGATGGTGAATTCCTTTTGTGGTTTATTTAGGGGGAAAAGAAACAAATATATTGCAACAAAGTGGCAGACAGAGGGTATTTGTAACAAGGAGTAGCTATGGGATGTATTTATTGGTGAATTCATTACATTATGGTTATATGTTGGGGGAATCTGGGGCCAATTTAAGATAATTTCGTGATAACCTCACACAATTTGGATAATAGCACATTTTGTGAATTTTCTTTCTTTTTTACCATTTTTTTTTTTACTTTCAGTTTTAGTGAATTATTAATCTGTTTTATTTGTTTAACATTGGCTTCAAATAATTGGAGCTTAGTGTACCTACCCATGTGAGTTGATTTATGTCTCAACTTGCTTTACAGTTCAATACATTATCCCAAAATATATTAATACACTGATTCCAAACAAATAGCAAATATGAGAGATAGATAGATAGATAGATTGAATAGAAACAGATAGAATAGAATAGAAACATATAGATAGAATAGAAACAGATGGATAGATAGACAGACAGACAGACAGACAGACAGGCAGACAGATAGATAGATAGATTAGAGACAGACAGACATACAGATAGATAGATCGATAGATAGATAGATAGTTTGTAAACAGGATCCCAGTGCTGGCCAGTGACACTGTCTGCATTATCCTGCTTGTAGCAGAGGCTGAGCTGAGCCCTCTCTGCAGTTCCCTGTCAGCTCACTCACTTTCTCTCCTGCATTCAGTCCTCTCACTTGCACTCCAGCTCTACTAATCCTTGTCTGTCACTCACTCAGTTCTTACCTCCCACTCTCTCCTCGTTGCATTTCTCTCCCCTCTCTCAAATTCTCTCTCTCTCTCCTATGAGCTCCTCCCCTGTCTGGCAGATTCTACATCAAAACCCCGAGGACAGCATCAACCCTGCAAGAAGAAGCCCTTTCTCACCCTGTGAGCTGACAAACTTCTATGGAGTTGGAGTGAGAGGGGCGCAGAACAGGAGCTCTGGGGATGGGGGTCCTCCCAGGCTGGGGGCTCCTACTGCTACTAATCAGCGTCCTGAGGATGATGGGGTGCATGGGGGAGCTGACCTGCTCAAGCTGTCACCCCCATATCAAGCTTCTGGGGCAGCAAGGGGCGAGCTCAGGCAGGGCAGGTTTGGGGTACATGGTGCACAGGATGCAGGGGGGCACTCTGAGTGGGTGGGGGAGACAGGGGTCTGACACAAGGGATGATGAAGTGAATGAAGAAGAATTATGGGGGGATTTTGGTGATCATGGTCTGGGTACCAGTGCTCAGCGTAAGGACCAGATTACTGCCCCATGGGTGGGGGCACATGGAGGGGCTGTGAAGGACCACAGTGATGGAGCTGGCACTGGAGAGGGGCATGGGGGGGCTAGGGACCAGGTAGCAGATAAAGGGTCCTGGGGGGCAAATCTGGTGGGGAGAGATGGGGGTAACTGGGATGAGGATGCTGATTCCCTGTATGAGGGAGCTGGGAGTTGGAGTTCTATGGGTGACAGTGCTAGGTACTCTTTGGGTTCTGCTGGTAGTGATAGAAGTGATCAGGATGGAGGTGCTGGGAGTGGTGTTAATGATCACTGGGGTGATGGGGGTGAGAGTGGGGGGCAGTATGGGGGTGACAGAGGAAGTCAGTTTCTGGGTGCAGATGTTCCCCCCATTGATGATCCCAGCAGCCCACTGCACAGGGGAGCCAGGAGGGTGCGGGGCGCTGAGGGGCGCCGTGCAGGTGACATGGATCGGGTGAGCCGGTTCAGAGTGGAAGAGCTGAAACTGAGCAGCAGCACATTCTCACTGAGTGGAGACTCGGCTCACAATCAAGCCATGGTGCACTGGTCGGGACACAACAGCAGTGTGAGTAGTGCCGGGGACTGCAACTCCTATCATACTCAGAGGGGTGCCTGGGGTGGGGAGTTTGTATTTGTGTATCCTTGTGTATTGCATGGCAGAGTATAATATTAAGTACTGGGCTGCCTGCCTCAGGCACAGCAATTCCCATCATTCTTAGCCAATTGTCAGGGATGCACACTTACCCCATAGAAAGATTTGACATTGCATGTATATAGCAGTGCAGAGTATTACTCATAGCAGTGTTATGCTGCAGGGACTAGAAATGCTATCATCCTCAAGACGGTGGCTGAGGATGATGGGAAGTGCTCGAAGCTTCAGACAGGGAGCCAGATGAGTTAATATAGTGTTGTGATAGTGTTTTATTGTTTATAGTAGCATAGATTATCACTTATTGCGCCGCCTGCTGCAGTGACTGCAATTCCTATCACCCAGAGGCGCTGGTTAGACATGATGGGAACTGGAGGCAGCATCAATCAGTGATCCAGCAATGTGCCATGTGGGGGTGGGTGGTGTATAGAAATGTTGAGTATTTTCTTATAGTAAACGTTACTCGAGCTCCATTGATACATTGTGTACAGAAAGGTTACCAGAATTGCGATCCTGAGCATCACCTGCAATGACCCATTGTATCAGATCCTCGTACTGTGCAGCATTGGGGATGGATGGTACAATGTATTACGGAACAAACCAGACACTGTATCAACAGTTCGGGTCATTTTCTGCATTGTTGTGATAGGATAATAATAAATACATTGATATCCCAACCGTTTACACAGTCGATACATTGTGCAGGAGACTCAATCAGGTAATATGACTGCCAGGGGCCACTTTAGCCATCATATTGGCTTAATGTATTGTGTATTATACACTGCCCGTCTCTGCTCACTGGGTAACGTATTGCATTCTTTTTTGCTGCTGGACTCCAACTCCCAATGCAGCCAGCAGTTTTCTCAATGTAATGGGGTTTACTTTGTAACTGCAGTCAATCGATCCTGTTCTCAAAATCTACTCTTTAACTGTCTAAAGAAGGGGAGTCCAAAAGGACAAACCTTATTATTAGACTACAACTCCTTTAACGCAAAGCCAGCTTTAAGACAGAGAAAAGATCATGTGAGCTTGCAGTTCAAAAAAGAATGGCATTCTAATGTTTGACCACTCCTGGTTTAAGCAATCTCCAAAACTATATGAGCCTGTATAAATGTATTATAGTTCTATGAATCTTCTTGCCATGGTTATATTTGTGAGGAGCTGTGCTGCCCCAAACTCCCTGAATGGGGTAGAGCTATTTATTGTATCAGGACTTTCCCACGTGGGGAATAGACAGAATGGATGATTGGTGCTGCTCTCAATGAGCAAATATTCACAGATAGGATTGAAAGCACAGTCTACAGCTAGTCTAACCCCAGCAGAGCAATGTGCACTTGATTTTACAATTCTTTTACTTGCTTTATGGTCTGAGTCAATTCTGCTGAAATGATTAACTGATAGTAACACTAGAGAGAGAATTAAGCTGCCTGTGTCTTTGCTACAGAGGGCAAGAAGCAAACCACTGGTATGGCATGGTATCAGGCAATTCAGGGGTTAAGATAGTGATACATAGATCAGGGTAATTGATTGCATCAGGGGCTATGCTGAGCCCTCTGCTCACCCTTTAAATACTGAATACGTTTTATATCTATTCTCAAGCACCACTGTCATCCCAGGTGTTTGTATTTCCCTCCTTGAGCATAGCTGAGTCTAGGATCCAGCCACAATCAGTAGATGTAGGAGTTCATTTGTGTGATATCTTTAGAATTTGAGCTGTTTGAGATACTTGAGAATAGGCTTGTAAAGCTTTGGTATCTCAGCTTTGTTTATAAATAATAATGGTTGAGATCTCCTTGAAGTCAGGTGTTGATCCAACTTTATGTATTTTGGAATCAATTTATCTTTTATTCATTATGGTTAGTACATGATATTGATTGGTATATATATTTTTTTTTTAATTTGAAAGAAAGGAATAAAGACACTGGTACTTTTTTTTTTTATAACTGGGATTATGACTTTCTGTAATGAAAACGAGCTAAATTAGTCCAAATCTAAGTGCACTTAGTGTGAGAAAATTCAAATCCAGCAAGGGCTTGATAGTTGATATGTCCTCCCCAAGTCAAGCACATTGTTCATTACTGTATCATACAATATTAATGAAAATAAAACAAAACTACTATTGCATCTATTGCACGTTGTGTAAAATACAATATAATACACTTTTACTATATTTAAAGGGACACTATAGCCAAAACAACTTTAGCTTTATGAAGCAATTTTGTTGTATAGATCATGTCTCTGGGGTCTCACTGCTCAATTCTCTGTCATTTACGAGTTAAATCATTTTTGTTTCTGTTTATGCAGCCCTAGCCACACATCCCCTGACTTTGACTCACACAGCCTGCATGGAAAAAAATGTTTTGCATTTTCAATGAGATGTTAATTTGCTTTACAGGTTTTTATCTCCTGCTTTGTAAATTGAACTTTATTCACTCACAGGGGGCTCCTGCTGGGTCGAGAAGGCTGTTAACAGGGCATGATATAAGACATTCTAAATTAAACACACTGTGCAATAAAGGAAGTATAAACATTAGATCTCTCTTTACAGGATATGTTTAGGAAGGCTGTGCAAGTCACATGCCAGGAGGTGTGACTAGGGCTGTATAAACAAAGCAATTTAACACCTAAATGGCAAAGAATTGAGCTGTGATACTGCAGGTGCATGATCTATGCATCAAACCACCCCAAGCTTGATTTAAAAATGAGCTCTCACCACTTGCTCATAGAATGCTGGGAGTATGGGAGTTGGAGTTTACAAATATATGTTCCTGTAAATGTAAACATAAATAGTTCAGCATGCTCCCAGAATTCAGGGAGCCAGGGCAGGTAGAACTCACATAGATGTTTCATATACACACAAACAAAGTCAATTTATAATGCTATTAGGACACATGTAGAATAGCAGGTGGATCTCACAGAGGTATTTCATATTTACAAACACCACCAACTTAGAATGCTCTCAGAATACAGAGAGTTGGAGTATGAGCAGTTGGAGCTCATACTGTTTCTTATAGGCACCCGCAGCTCAGAATGCTATCAAAATGCAGGGAGAATGGCAACTGTAGCTAACACTGATAATTAATATACTGTAATTGAGGCAAAATGTCATCACCACTGTTTTATAAAATAGTCATTCTACATAAACAAGGTATTTTACACTTGTTATAATTGCAGCTCAATAGAGCATATAATGTGAGTTATTAATACAGAAAATATTAAAATGATATTGAATGTAACATTTATATTATGTCAGTGTTTCTAAAACTTCCTTTAACAAAGCCTCTTAAAAATGAGAAAATAATGAAGGCTATTTCATGCTGCGTGTTAAAGAGGTTCATCCATGAGAATCAAAGAGCAGCCTTATTCAAAAGCCAGTGTAGATCAACAAAACAGAAATGTATTTGTTTATTTATTTATTTATTTATTTATTTATTTATTTTTTAATAGATTGCTAGTTGCAGTTAGCTCTTCAGCCTTTACAGTATGAGGTGGCACTGTTTGCTAATATTGTCTATGAGACTTTAAGTATATAGGGTTTAAATAGGCTAAAATATACAGGGTTACTAAATAAAGTAAGAAGTCAAGGGGAATTATAAATTTAAGGTCAGAGCAGTCGAACTAGATGCATAGCTGAATTATATGAGAAATGTTCCTGTTTGGCTATTGAGTTCTGACATGAGAATTGCAAATTCGTGGTCAAAAAACTGTGAAAAATCCCCAATTCAGCTATTTTTTTTCTAGCTATTTGCTTCGGCTTAAATTTTCATTTTATTGTAAAGACTTTATCCTTAGTTTAGTAAATAAACACCGTTCCATGTAGAGGGAATTAGAAATCCATTTCTATGTTGGGATCCTGTTTTTTTTTTTTTTTTTTAGCAGGAAACATTCTGCAATATATCATTTAATGTTATTTTCATTAGACTTAGCTTTACTGAAATCGATTCATGGATCAATTTTTACAATATCCTTGTACTTTACTCACATATACCGATAGGGGGTACCTTACATCTGTCCTGATTCTATCAAGATGACAGATTTAAAAGCCTGATATTAGATATAAAGAAAAAAACCCAGTAATTAAACAAAAAATAATAATAAAAAATAATAAGAATAATAATTAAAATAAATAAATGTGATATATTTTTTACATATATAGTATAAAAATGTAGCTGTTCTCAATATTATAAGTGCTGTGCCATGTCAGATTATCCTGTCTGGC